ACGCCCTCCGGAGATTCAAAACGCAGCTGCAGCGTTTCCAAACTTCTCAGTTTTAAGTCTTCGTTTTTCCCGTTTTAGTGTGGACGGGAGGTGCAAACGTAGCAAAAGGTCTCCGTTTTTAAACGAAAACGCAGTAGTGTGGACGGGGCCTGATTCACTGAAATAAATGTTGTTTTCAATTCAAAATGTGTTGAACATATTGTCCCAGCATTAACTTCAAATTGTTAAGCCAGGTTATTGTCAAGTAATTCTGAGGTATCTAGTTCTATATTTCACATCATTTATATTTTGTAGATCTAAAAAAACTTATTTTGCTTTCCCCATGAAAAGAGACACCATTTTGCCAAGAGATCTCTCGAATTTATTTATAATATTTATAAGACATAGGAGGAAGAGAAACAGAGGTCTTCATTCTGCATCGTTACCATCTCTTCCTGCTTTTCGGACAAAAGGGACTCAGTTTAAATACTACTGACCAAGAAAAAACTGCATCACCATAGTAACACATGCATTACCACAAGAACATGTGGTTCCAATTAAAGGAACACTCCGACTTTTTGGGACTTATGGTGCGTTCTATTATTCATCCGTCTCGGAGATCCGATTCGGACGACAGACGTTGCCTAGCAACACGCCCCCTTTCCTCGGATTTCTCCTCTCGGACGTCGGACAACCGTGAGGACACCGAGAAAGAATTCCGTTTCGGAATTCAAGATGGCTGCGCCCTGTGACTTGTAAGAATGAATTGTTTTTGAACCGCTTTGGTATTTTAAATGACGGTTATAATCACTCGTATTACTGCGTCCCCTGTAGGTATGGGAATCGGTTGTTGTGAGTGCAATTACTGACGTTGCTAGCGTTGCTAACAGAAGATTAACATGAAAAACATTAATAAAGTGAACATTTTCAAGTTCAAATGGCTGCGTTTTAATAAGGTGTAGTCATAATATTTTTTCGTTTTAATGTAAGTGCCTGGTACTCGGTCAGTGCTACCATTATAACAGCTTTCCGGGTGGCGTCCATTTTTTTCTCCGACTCGGACGCGTAAAACAAATAGAACGCTTGAAGTGTGGACGTGACGTCAAATCCGAGATCCGAGACGGTTCGTTGGGTATAATAGAACGCACCATTTAGCCTATTCACCTTACCCCCCAGAGTTAGATAAGTCCATACATACCTTTTTCATCTCCGTGCGTGCTATAAGTCTGTTTGACGCACCCACCGCTAGCCTAGCTTAGCACAAAGACTCGATGTGACTGGTTGCAGCTTTCATACTGATCCAAATGAGTGGCAAAATAACGCAAACTTTTCCCTATTTACATGTTGTGATTTGTATAGTCACAGAATGTACAAATAACAAAGTCAAATGAGACACAGACATCTTTTAACCGTATAAAACCTGGGAACTATTCTCTGAAGGCGAAGCACTGCTACTTTGACGGCGTAATAACCGCATCACCGGAGACAAGCCGTGGTGAGGAGCGGAGAGTTCGCTCGGTGTTTGGGTAATAGAGTCAGCAATTTATAAATAGTAAAAGCGTAGTTTAGAGTCATGGGTTTTCGCTCTATTGTAAATAGCTGAGACTGTAAACAGGGGAGGTAATACCATGTTTCACAGAATTCCAACTAAAAACGCTGACTGGATGAAGAAATGGCTAACTTACTCTGGATATTTATCCAAACACACCTAAGATTATCAAGGGACATTATGTTTGCTCGGTACATTTCAATGAGGACGACTATTTTGAAAAAATGGAATTTGCCACACGGACCATAATGTTCTGAAGGATACGGCCATCCCATCGATAGCACAGACAGGACAAGTGGATCACCTGCGGCCGAGGTTAGTGTTCCGTTATGTTTTTAGATGACCTACTGTAACAGTGCCATTAGCCAGATCTAATGTAACGTTAGTGACACTATTATATGATTAGGGTATGAATATGTTTTTATCTTGATGCGGTGCGGACGCGCTTGGGAAAAAAAAACGAGCGCGTTCACCGCGTTGAACTTGCACCCTGCGCGCGGCGCGCCTAGTAGCCAAAATTTGAAATAACCATGGAAATAACGAACTTGAGCGTGCAAAAGGGTACGATAGGCTGTGAGTTCATTGTGCAAAAACAATTTGTGCTATTACTTTCCCCTTATTCTATCCTATAGTAATGCAATACTGTATATTATATAGGCTACTGTTGAATACATTTGGTTCAGCTAATAAATTGCATTTAAAATATATTGATTCCTGTAATAATAATTATTTATTCATGTGATATTTATAAATCTGGGTGCGTTTTTGGTTGGAAATCAATGAAACATGGTACTGTATTACCTGGTCTCCCCTGTTTATTGTCACAGCTCATACAATAAAGCAAACACCCATGATAAACTATGCTTTTCTATCTAACGTTATTGCTGACTCTTTATTCCAAAGCTGAGCGAAGCGAACTCTCTGCTCCTCGTCACGGTGCGTCTCAGGTGATTGTTATCACTCTGCCCAAGTAGCAGTGCTTCCCCTTCAGAAAATATAGTATTTATACGGTCAAAAGATGTCTGTGTCTCATATGGCCTTGATATTTGCACACTCTGTGACTATACAAACCACAACATGTAAATAGGAAAACGTTTGTGTTATTTTGTCACTCATTTGGATTAGTATGAAAGCTGCAACCATTCACATCCAGTCTTTGTGCTAAGCTAGGCTAGCGGTGGGTGCGTCAAACAGACTTATAGCACGCACGGAGATGAAAAAGGTATGTATGGACTTATCTAACTCTGAGGGGTAAGGTGAATAGGCTAAAGTCCCAAAAAGTCGGAGTGTTCCTTTAACAATGGAATGTATATCCATTCCCAGTGGAAACTATACATTGCATAAACTTTCAGTCTCACTCCAACATACATTCACTTCAAAGTCTCCTAAAGTCTCTCTCTCTCCCACATCTTCAAAACATTATAATCACAAAATGCAAAGATTACAAATGATAATGTGTGTATACATGTAATAAAACAGATACATATTACGAATATTAATAAAAAATAATAATAGTATTAAAAACAACATTAAATGAAGAGATTTTGAGTCTTCAATTTGAACAAGGATAATTCAGGGTTTTTGTGACACTTTCAATACTTATTATCTACCCAAATGAATTTTGGTTGCGTTAACGATTATCGCAAGTGCATTCTATTACCAATGCGGATGGACTGATTTGTCTAAGAATACAACAAAAACTTATTGTGTCATCATAACATGATGCACATTATGAATCTTGTCAGTAGTATTTTAAAAACAACAAGTAAATGAAATATATTAACACATTTTTTGTGTTATTTTGTGTATTGCTCTTTAATATATAGTTAAGATCAACTAATGGATTGCGATCTGAAAAGTCATTAAAAAGTAAACAAGAATTTAGCAATATCTGAAAAAGCATAATAGGGTAATAATCAGCATAATAATCAGAACCAGAACTTTCATTTATTATTTTTTTTTATTTACGATTCTAATCCATGAATTGATCAAGTGCATTGATATAGACTACTAATAACGAGTTTCCTGTCACGAATCATTAGCTGCTCCTCACCTTGCCTCTAGGACTTGGCAGCACAGTTTCCGCGGGATATCTCCATCTCCCAGCACAGAGATCTGGAGGTGAATCTCCCCTTGCACCTCCTCATCAGGGTCAATCTCTGTTAAATTCATCCATCCATCAACACCTAAACAAAAAATGACAAGAAAATGAGAATTTATATATCATCCATTGTCGTTGAAATAAATCATTTAGTGTTGGAGGGTTATGGTGGGCTAAGTTGAAGAACAGGGGCTTGGTCTAGTGCACATTGGGAGAGAACAGGATTAAGAGCGGTATTATTATAGCTTCTGTGTTCCAGTATCCGCAAACACACACAGTTGGGATGAAAATTGAATAGATAATGTCCCTCTTCAGTAACTCTAGCTTTAAGAGGCTTACGGTAATAGAATTAATGGCCTTGCTGTATTTCTACAGAATAAGCTTATGGTAGACCAAGAGTATTTCCGGACATGTTGGATGTTCAATAATTGTGTTAAAATGTGAACAGACTGAGATTAAAGCTATTATTCAATGAAAATCTGCTCAGGTGTAGCTCTTAACACTCCATTCTGCTGTGTAGGAATCGGTCAGGTGACACTGACTGTAAGATTTCAGAGTTTTAGAGAAAGAAATGTATTTAGGAAATCGAGGGCTACTGTTAGACTGTTTTTAGTATTTTGCTGAAATCTTCACTCAAGGACGATCAAACCACTCTGATTTTGCAGTGGCTAAGTCTAAAATTGTAAAACTAGTTATTTTGGCTTCAGTGATGTGCACATAAAGCTTGTTTATTCCTGTGGCCTACTAGGTCGTTTTTTCCTCTCGATTAGTATTCCAGCGTATCACTCGTCAAGGTCCATTTTCCTTTATTGCTCTGGTGAGTTGCCCAAAAATAAATTCAGTCCGCCAAGAACAACTATTCCATTTAGCTGAATGTTGATGCTTTCAATATATTTTGTGGAACTGAACGTGATTATAGCATCTGATTACTCATACATTTCATTTTTTTGTTTGAAGTTCAGTGAAATTTGTATCTTAAATATACCATATACTGACTGATTAAAAACATGGATTTAAAGCAGACATCAAGTATTTCAGGAAAATGCTGTTTGTTGTTTCAAGATATTGCTCAAAAGAAATATGTTGAAAAGAAAATGGAATGCAAAATCACTATAATAAGCAGCAAATAGTCTGAGATGGCCCATTCTTCAGTTCAGTCATTCAACTTCTGAAATTAAATGACATGCATGCAGATGAATTTGCCCACAAACAAATGGCACAAAAGAAATCCATTTAGGAAACTGAACCAAAAGCTAAAGTGAACCAAAAAAAAAAAAACTAAACAGCTCAACATTTTCTAGATGCAATCTTTCTACAGATACAGTATTCATACAATAAGAAATGAAACACCCGTTAGAAAGCTTTGACTGACAGTCTCTTGACAGTTAAAGGTCTGCCTCATGAATATGTTCAAAAACAGTGCACCCGGCCTCCCTCCACACACACACACACACACACACACACACACACACACACACACACACTGCCAACCTTTAAAGAGTCAAGGTCTGTGCTTCAAACAGATGCAGAGCCACTAGCCAAAATTCTTTACAATAGAGTGCATTTTTCCTTCACCTGCACACACAAAATGTTTAGAAAGCAAAAACAAAAAGTAAATAATAATAACAAGATTTTTTAGATTTTCTTCATAAAATGAGTGCCCTGTGTAAACGTTGCTTCCAAGATGCTAAATTGTAATGGGTGGTTTGCCAGGTGTCACAAATAGCCAGTTGCAGTAACAACAAATATGATTTGAGCGGGATCTATTAGCAGCAGTTATTTTATTAAAGGCAAACTGAATAAAACAAAAGCATGCAGAATATCAAAATACAAAGAGAACAAACAGTATAAACAATAAATAATGAAAAGAACAAGGGGCTATATACACTCACCTAAAGGATTATTAGGAACACCTGTTCAATTTCTCATTAATGCAATTTATCTAATCAACCAATCACATGGCAGTTGCTTCAATGCATTTAGGGGTGTGGTCCTGGTCAAGACAATCTCCTGAACTCCAAAGTGTATGTCAGAATGGGAAAGAAAGGTGATTTAGGCCATGTCCACACGGACACGGGTATTTTTATAACCGGAGTTTTTCCATCCTGCGTTTTTAAAAAAAACTCCGTCCACACGAAAACGCAAAAACAAGCCATCAAGCGCTGTCAAGAGCATGCAACACCAGCAGGCAGCGATATAAACCTAACCGTAAAGCCACGTTAGCCAATCAGAAGCAGTCAGCGGTGCAAAAACTCCGGTTTCGCTGTCTACACGACAACACTGCAACCGACGTTTCAGAAAATACTCACCCTGGCAGAGGTTTTCAAAAATGTTCGGTTTCAGTGTCCTGATACTGCGTTTCCGTGTGGACGAACGGCCGAACCGCGTAAAAAAAGTCACGGTTATAAAAATACCCGTGTCCGTGTGGACATGGCCTTAAGCAATTTTGAGCGTGGCATGGTTGTTGGTGCCAGACGGGCTGGTCTGAGTATTTCACAATCTGCTCAGTTACTGGGATTTTCACGCACAACCATTTCTAGGGTTTACAAAGAATGGTGTGAAAAGGCAAAAACATCCAGTATGCCGCAGTCCTGTGGGCGAAAATGCCTTGTTGATGCTAGAGGTCAGAGGGGATCCATCATGCCTTGTTACCACTGTGCAGGCTGGTGGTGGTGGTGTAATGGTGTAGGGGATGTTTTCTTGGCACACTTTAGGCCCCTTAGTGCCAATTGGGCATTGGCCTACCTGAGAATTGTTTCTGACCAAGTCCATCCCTTTATGGCCACCATGTCCCCATCCTCTGATGGCTACTTCCAGCAGAATAATGCACCATGTCACAAAGCTCGAATCATTTCAAATTGGTTTCTTGAACATGACAATGAGTTCACTGTACTAAAATGGCCCCCACAGTCTCACATCTCAACCCAATAGAGCATCTTTGGGATGTGGTGGAACGAGAGCTTCGTGCCCTGGATGTGCATCCCACAAATCTCCATCAACTGCAAGATGCTATCCAATCAGTATGGGCCGACATTTCTAAAGAATGCTTTCAGCACCTTGTTGAATCAATGCCACGTAAGAATTAAAGCAGTTCTGAAGGTGAAAAGGGGTCAAACACAGTATTAGTATGGTGTTCCTAATAATCCTTTAGGTGAGTGTATATAAATGCAAACCAATCAAAGAAAAGAGAAACAGGAGAAACAATTTAATCAATCAATGAAAAACTCTGGAAAAAGACAAGGGAATCAAACAAGCATGCAAACCAGGAAAAAACAAAACTAAAACCCAGACAAGGAGAAGACAGGAGGAGGCTTTGGAGGAGGATGTCCTCCAAATTTCACTATGGCAGTGGGACAACCCCAGACGAGTGAGGAGCCAGGGAGGAGTCAACAGCAAAGAAGCCAGTGTAACCGCTCCGTGCGGGATTCTAATTAGGGTCTCTGGCATAGGAGGTGGGCATGCTCACTAGGAAGCTAAAGTCTACGGCTGTGTGCATCCTCCGAAGGCCGTATTTGAAGGCTGATTGCGTCACACCGGTGCAACGAAGGCTGTCCCAAGTTGAAGGACCCTTCTTATGCGGCCTGCTGTCAGTGTTGCCAAGTCCGAGGTTTTCCCCCAGAATTGGGCTACTTTTAAGTTGTTGCCCCAGGAAAACATTTTTTTTTCCGCCGGGTTGATTTCCACCCCCGTTAGTATGATTTCGATGCTCCAACACACCCAAAACATCCATCAGACGCACAAATATAGTGGAGAATTCGGCCGCCCGATGGAGAAAACTGTTGTTGCACATCTGGCAACACTGCCTAACGTCCTTCATTCCCCGGGCCGCAAAGGATAGAACGAGGCGATTTCGAACACAGCAATGGTCTCAAAATGATTTGTTCATGTTTTTTATTCAGTGTGACGTCACAGTGGTACAGGTCTCACCCACGTCTAGTGACGCACTCTGCTCTTCTCTGAGTGAGCTCCGCCATGTTTTTCTCCTCGCTAGGGCTGCTAGTGTAACAAGAATGTCTCGGCGGCTACGTGTTAAACAATGTAAATATTCTATTATTGAAGACTTCTAACAGGTGATCCACTGGAGGCAAGTTTTAGAACCCAAGTGCAGTTTATTGATACTCCTAAAAAGCAAGTCAAACATAAAATAAAGGCATGGCATGAAACTCAAAACAAAAGCATGGACATGGACATGGTGCTCACAAACAGTGGTTACAGGGAAACAATACTTGACAAAGACACATGGCAAATATGAAAGCTTAACCCTCAGGTGCTCTTCGGTCATTTCTGACCGAAAAATTTTCTGTTTTGAAATTTTAAAAAATCACAGCTTCATCGGAATGTTATGAAACTTGGTTACTTTAATGGCATTATGTATGTGAATACAAAAAAAATTGAGGTCATGATCCGAGCATGCTAAGTGGTCGTAAAAAAAAATAGATTTTGTGGTCTTGTGGTCTTGTGGTCTTCGGTCAAAAATGACCGACCCATAGGAAATGAATGGGAAATTGACAAAAAAACAAAATTCTCTGAATTTTTGTACGTGCAATCTACAAATCGGCCACAATTCTAAAAAAAAGTACACCGCAGGAAAGGGGTGACACTCTACGACATCTAGAGTGCAAAACAGACAAACCCACCCACACACACACATACAAACACACTTTTATACACATACACACCAATAAATTTTGATTACAAAAGTATGTTTTTAATTTTTAAAAATCACAGCTTCATCGGAGTGTTACGAAACTTTGTGACTTTTATGGAATTATGTATGTGAACACACAAAAAAATGAGGTCATGATCTGAGTATGCTAAGTGGTCTTAAAAAAATAGTCACACTTGTGGTCTTTGGTCAAAAATGACCCCCATAGGAAATGAATGGGAAATTGACAAAAACACAAAAATTCAGACATTTTTATTTATTTATTTTTTTTACATTTTTTTAATTAAAAATCGTTTTTGAGATTGTTTCAACTATATATTCAAATCCACCAAAACAAAAATGTGTTCATAAACATCTGGGGAATTCACATGCTTCTCCATAGAGAGCTGTACATGCCATCTAGTAGTTACATGATTCTA